GGCAAGAGTACACCTATACCTCAAATTACATAGTAGTTTTCCACAGTCCTATGGCATGGAAGGGACCAGAAAGATCATCAGAGACCCAGAGAAGGAAAGTGACATCAGTGTCACAAGGCTGGATTACCGTTGAGCAGATCTAGAAACCAGGTGGGTTAAGTCCTGTCCCAGACCTCTGTTCAGCTCTTCTTAGCCATCACTTATCATCAGCATCTACGGATACCTGCTGAGAACTCAGAAGTTGAAAAAGACAACTGTTTCTTGAGTACATGGAACGTATAGACCCTTGTGTTGGTTGTGGGGTGGGGGTGGGGTGACGGGTGGTCCGGTGCTATGGTGGCAGCGGGAAGGGAGGGGATGGTGCCAGAGTCTGTGTCCACAGCCTCCCAGACCCTCCCAGGCTTCTGACCGGTCTGGAAGACACCACCCAAGCACCCCGAAGTTAAAGAGCGGTAAGAGAAGTTGATACAGTTGCCCTGGAACCGGCTCAGAGCAATGTATGATTAGCAGCCAAATGAGTGGTTAGCAATTGCCATAAATGTTCTGAAAAGGAGAGAGAGTGGTGCTGTGCCTTTGTTTAGCATGTAACTGTTTTCAGTGCTTTCCTGTGTTTGGCTTCTTCGGGGCAGTCCTGAAGTGGTCTCTGTGTCTGGGGAAGTGATGGGATTTCCAGAGAGACACACAGGGTCCCTGCCTTTGAGAGACGTCCTGCCTTGAGGGGCGGGGTCGGCGGGGGCACGAAGTCACGTAATGCTTGTGTGAATGGAGCATCGGAATGAGGGACTCGAGGTTCAAGGGGGAGCAACGTTCTGGGTCTGCAGGTGTTTGTCAGTGCGCTGTGTGTGCTCTCAAACTCTTCTTACCCGTGAATAGGCTCCTAAGCATGGGATGGGCAGTGGGCTGGGGAGAGAAAGGCGGCTGACCAGGGACTGCCTGGCTCTGTGGCATCAGATGACTTGCTTAGCTTCTCTCTGCCTCAGCTTGCTCCTCTCTAAAATCAGAGGAATAGAAAACTTCTCGGATGCCCTCCAGCTGGAAGTTTCTTTATTCTAAGCATCTTACAATGATCTGTTTTTGAAAATTTGGATTCTCAGATACCCATCAGGCTGCAGCTTCCTTTTGAGTCCTCTTTCCCTTATTTATCCTAAACTTTTATTTGGCACATTTATGATTATATTGTATCATTTGAACGCACACAAGGTCCTTGGACTGACGTCATCCCCCGTTCATAGATGGAAGGGGCAAAATCAGGGTTTACCTACTCTTCTCCAGCGCCAGATCCTGGAGCTGGAGAAGTTTTTGACACAGAGCGGCCACTGTACCTGCTCTGTGCCAGGTCTCCTGGGGTATTGAACAGGGGAGACAGAGTTCCCTCTCCAGGGGCTTTTGGCCAGTCTCAGTCATTGCTAGGGAGTGCCAGGCACTCACGAAAACTGTGCTGAACAGAAATAAATGCCTAGAGCACTCTCGGGAAAGAGATCTGTGTGAGGTTCAAATGACCCTAGCAAGAAGGGAGAGCTGTACCATTTTACATTTACAGCCTCTTGAACAAAGGGCTCTAGGAGGGAAGAGATCTGTACCATTTTACATTTACAGCCTCTTGAACAAAGGGCTCTAGGAGGGAAGAGATCCCCCCACCCGCCTCAGCTGCCCCGGTCGAAATTACTTCTGTCCAACTAATTATGCCCAGAGACTTCGGCAGCATGTGGTTGGGGTGGATGTTGCCATTCTGTTGCTCTCTTTAACTGAGGTAATTCAGGAGCACAGGGGGAAGCTGGGAGTACTCAAGTTGTATGTCAAGACCCTGAATTTAAGGGAGTCCTCGTGGGTCCCCTCCCTCTTTGGGAGTTTTGTACTATCGCTCAATAAACCTTACTAGCACTCAGTCAACTTTGCTTTGCTGCCCACCAAAAGAAAAAAAAAAAAAACCCTGAATTTAAGAGATGTCAGGTTGTCTGGGGTCTCTTAGGCTGGGAAAAGACCAACCCTTTGTAAGCCAGCACAAAGTCACTAGAGCAGTGGAGGAGGATGGAGGCTTCAGTCCGGTCGCCTTGTGCTAAGAGTCATGTTCAGTGTGGATCCTAGTCTAGAAGAAAGAAGGTGGGTAGGAAGCCACTGGTGCCTCTTAGGTGAGCCCATTACTCTGACTCAAAAGGGGACCCAGGACAAGCCAACCCTCCCGCTCGTCTTTCCCTCCAACAGCTGAACACCAGCTCTCCACACCAGGGGCTTCTCAGGCTTACGTAGCACTTCCAGAATGCCTTGAGGTCCACAGAGGAAGAGTGGCTGGATGCCATTGTGAATCCTTTTACAGTGAACCCACAGGCTTTTTTGATTCATCGTCAGAGGCCCTCCCAGATTCCCAGGTCCCAGCCCTCCCCTTGAGGGGAGCTCAGTCCTGAGGGCCTATCCCAGGCATACCTCCCACCCCCATGGGGAACAAGTCTTGCTCAGAGCAGTGACACCTTGTCTCCTCTCCTTCCCATCCCTTAGCATCACTGCCAGATCACCTTCTCCCAGGTGCCTGTCCTAGCACTCACCAGGGTTTCCAACATCTCTGATAGAGATTCCTTGTGCCCAATGTCAAGATCACTCACTGTCTGGATGTCCCACAATCATTCTTCTCTCAATTTCCTTCTCCTGTGCGTTGCCCCCTTCCTTCACCCTTGCAGTGGTGGACACTGTCCTCCTCATCCTCTGCTGATCTCCAGCTGGTTTGGGCTTCAGGTTACACATGTTACTTCTCCTCACTTCATCTTTTCTTCTCCCCCTGATCATTCGTTCAACAGATTCTCATATAGTAACTACTACCGTGTATAAGGTACTGTGCTTGGCTATCAGAAGAGTGCCAAGGGGTATAAGATAGCTGATAGCTAGTCCCTGGTCGTGAGGTGCTTTCAGAGGAAATGAAGTCTGTTAGGGACGAACACATCTGAACCCTGGAAGAGTTCAGAGGAGACAGGGTATTCCAAGGTGTTCCAAACTCTGCCCATGCTCCACGGCCCAGCACAGGGGCAGCCTCCTCCATGAAGCTCCCCTTGACTGTTCCAAGCCTCCGTTTCCTGGAGTCCTAATGCACATTTTATTAGATACGACTTAATGATATCTCTGTTTCTCAACTGGACTCCCTACTCTTGGAGAGAAGGGATAAGCATTTGTCAGTTGGCTTCAGTTTTCAGTTCCACAAACATTAATTGCATTCTCTCACTCTCTTTTGTCTCTTAACGTCTTATAAACTAGCACAGACGAGGTGTTTAGTCGACACATTATTTATTTTTGAAATGTCAAAATCCATACCAGCTAATTATGAAAAACAAAGAACTCAAAACTATGCCCCCAGGAGTAACTACTGCGTAGAGTTTGGAGTATATGCAGGAAGGAATCTTAAAAGACCATTTAATTCGGCATCCACATTTGACGAATGAGAACCTTAAGGTGACTTTAATATTTGCGGGATTAAGTTAAGTGATTTGCTCGAGGTTAAATATTTAGACAGTGGTGTTCTAGCATCTTTTATCAAGAAGGATAGAGGAATAGTGGTGTACTCTGTACCAAGCAAATGTGTGAATAATCTTAGACGGGTACATGGGTTCTGACAGTACAGAGAAGAAACTTAATACAATAAGGTCATAAAACTCTTTGTCCCCATTTCAGATGTTTCACATTGGCCGACTGTCACAAAGCTTTATTGTGTTTATGAAACAATAGAATTAATTGTGAAAATACTACCTCTTTAAATATTTGAAATTAGAATGAAAAAGAATAGATGTAATAGATGGGGAGGGTGCATAAATTCAATTTAATAGTAATTGTGCTTCAAGTCCTGGGATGGACAAGTGGCCACAAGTCAGTTTTCCAGACCAGAGAGAGAAGTGGTGAGAAATCCAGAGCCTGGGGCCAGTGATGAACAGGGGCACAGGGTGGAGGGCCAGCCTAGTGGATTTTCCCACCATTGTGTGGTCCCTTCCCTCCTCGCCAGCCTGGGGAGGGTCCCAGTGGAGCCCGGGTTTAAGGCAGTGGTGTTATGCAGAGTCTTGTAACCTCGCTGGTAGATGATGTCACAGGTTAGTTACACGGGCCCAGATCGATGGACGACTCAGACAGTGGATCAATCACATTTCCGGGGAGAATTCACCCTTTGTGACCCGCAGGGGGCCAGGTGGTTTATCAAAAGAGGTTCTGGTTTGAAGGATTTAATGCCGGCCCTTTCCGCATTCCCGTCTCCTTCTCGGGGAGCCTGGGCAGGCACAGCGGGGTAATAAACTACTTTTCATTACAAGGATCTGGGGATATGAGTGGGAAGGGGACGTAAAGGTGGGGACAAAAAGGCACAAATCCGCTCCACGACGGAAAGCCAGGACGGGGGCGCGCTGGGTTCACTTCCCCCCGCCCCTCCTCCCTCCGAAGCCACCTCGAGTTTCTCCGCCGGGAGAAGTAACCCAGCGCGGTGCCAGGCCGCGGGCTGCGCTCTGGGCAGGGGGGGGCGAGTCGGCGCGCCCTGGCCTCGCCGGCCGGGCTGCAGCCCCCTCCCCGTCGCCCGGAGCCCCTCCCCCGGGCCTGGAGCCCCTCCCCGCGCTCTTCCCCTCTCTCCCCTCCCTTCCCTTCCCTTCCCTGCCGGCCCGGCCCTGCCTCCGCCTCCTGCGCCCACAGCCTCAGCCAGCGCCGAGCCCCCCGGAGCCGGAGCGCCGCGAAGAGGCGCCGTCAGCCCCTCCCCAGCGCGCTGACAGCGGGCTCCGGGGCCCCCGCCCGGTCCCCTAGCCGGCGGGACACACCCCCGCCCCTCCTCCGCTCCGCCAGTTCCCGCCGGACCCACCGGGCGGCGGACGGCGGAGAGAGCGGGCGTGCGAGGCGGAGAGCGGCGGCGGCGGCGGCGGCGGCGCGGGAGGGAAGGGGCGCGCGGCAGGCCCACGGGGAGCCGCCCGGAGCGCACGGAGCCCGCGTGCCCTCCCGGACCGTCCCCGCCCGGGGGCCGTACCTGTGGGCGCCGGGAGCCGGGGCAGCGGCGCGCCGGGCCGGAGTGGCGGGTGGCTCTGGGACCGGGGAAGCGGGAGAACAAGCGGGAGCCCGACCGGGATGAGAAGGTGACGCCGCCCGAGGGCGCCACTCGCTTTGTGGGGGGAAGATGCTGGCCTACTGCGTGCAAGATGCCACGGTGGTGGACGTGGAGAAGCGGAGGAACCCCTCCAAGCACTACGTGAGTACTGCCCCTACCGACCCCTGCGGGGGGTTGGCCAGAGACCCCCGGGAGGCCCCCCCCCCCCGGGGGCGCCCTCGCCCCACCCGCTAAGTCCCGGAGCTGAGTGCCCACAGGGCAGCCCTCGGCTGTGGAGTTTTCTTCGCGAGGTTGTGATCTGCAGGGAAGCCTTCTCTGTCCTTTCTCCACTCCCTCTGCCCCCCCCCCCCCACCCCGTTTTCTTTTTTTGGCATTGGAATTGGCAAGTGGCTGCCCTTGTCTGTTACAACGGTGAAGTCATCTGTCCGCTTGAGCTTTGATGGATGGTGGGGGAGCTTTCGTCAAACCCTCGCTGAGAAGCTCCGTTGGGAAAGAGCATCTCCCTGGCCCTCCCTGGGGGCTTGGGTAGCTCACGCTTACCCGGACCGTGATGCCTTCAGAGGTTCGCCCGGGGAAAGGAAGCCTGGCGCTGTCCTCCCCTGTTTGCCCCGGGCTCTGCCTCCCTAGGCCTGGGTCCCGGGGGCCGAGGGAAGCCGCTCCGCCCTCTGCCCCACCTCCACCCTCAGCCCTGAGCTTTGGTTTCCTTCTTAAAGTCATTGTGTCCGTCGGTGTGAGGAGAATTGTGGCTTTTCCTTTTATCCTTCTCTGGACGTGACCCTTAACCGGGTTCATTTCCTCTTAAGTGATGCTCCGTCTCCAGACACGAGGAGGCAAATGTTTGCTATGGTCTCCAAGGAACGGCCCGCTGTCCCTCCCCCTTCCTTCCCCACAATTAATGAGAAGGGGCTAAGGTTGATTGAGCTGAGCTCCGGGGTCTGTGTGACGGGTCCGCCTTTCATCTCAGCGGGTCCTGTCTTCCCATCCTTCGCACCTTAGGAAGTAAACATGGTGTCCTTGACGGCGGAGGATGCCTGTCTGAACCGCTGTGCTCGTGTACTTGAGGCAGAAGGGACAGCCAGGCACCCAAAGCAGAAGGACTGCGTGTATTTGCAAATGAGGCACTTAAAGAAGTATTTAGAATGCTCAAAGCATTAATTTAAACAAAACAGGTTGTAGTTTGCTGCCCTAGACTGCGCATTGATCTCTGAGAAAGGCCTTTCATTTCCCTGTTGGAAGAGGACTGGGGTTTGTGCCAATGTCAGCCTCAGGCTACTCTTTCTGTCTTTATCACCAATAGGTCTGAACTTGGGGTTTGTTTTTTGTCTTGTTTTATTTGTTTGTTTTTGGAGTGGAGTAAACTGGCCTGGGCTCAGCTTGGAGAGGAGTTAAACTAAGAAGGCTGGTTTCTGACCAGAGAGGTGGGTGCCCATGGGAGAGTTGTTCCTTTTGTGTTGTCTGGCTCAGCAAGCAAGCATCTTCATTTCAAGAAAGCTGCCATTTCAAGAAAGATACTTTTTGGAGGTCTTGGGGCACTGTGTGGTCACCCTGCTCCAGGTACCGAGGTCCGTTTGCACAACCCAGCACTTAGTATCAAGTCGGCCTTCCTAATCTTTTTTCTCAAATGTCACAGGCTAAGGTTTAGGGGTTGTCTTTTCTAGTCAGTTAAGCCCGGCCCTACTTTCAACAGATGGCACTCTCTGCTCTGAGACCCAGGCAGGTGCTTTCTCCCTGCTCTTGATTTTAGGCAAAACTTCAGATCTTAGCTCTGATCAATGATGTCCAAAATTACAAGGTAGGGCGGGCTGGCAACAAGCCAGAAATGTTGCTAAAGCAACTGGGGACCCACCACAGATAGTACTAAAAGGTGGTTAGCTCTGGGGCTCTGAGGCTGAGGGTCTTGTTCAAAGCCTGGGTCAGCCACTAACTAGCTTTGTGACTTTGGGCAGGTCGTTTAACCTCTGGGGGATTCCGGGTTCCTCATTCTTTTTTTTTTTTTTTTTTTAAGATTTTATTTTTTTATTTATTTTGACAGAGAGAGATCACAAGTAGATGGAGAGGCAGGCAGAGAGAGAGAGAGAGGGAAGCAGGCTCCCTGCTGAGCAGAGAGCCCGATGCGGGACTCAATCCCAGGACCCTGAGATCATGACCTCAGCCGAAGGCAGTGGCCTAACCCACTGAGCCACCCAGGCGCCCGTGGGTTCCTCATTCTTAAAGTGAGGATGATAACAGTACCTATTTCATAGAGCTGTCTGGAGAATTAAATGAGATCATCCATGAAAAGCACTTAGCACAGTTCTTGGCATGTAACAAGCACTCGCTAAATGGTAGCTCTTTATTGGTGAGATTCTGAGTAAGAAAGCACTTTTGAAAAGCAGCTATTAATGGTCTGGCAAAAAAGAAAGATAGATTTTGGGTTTTAAGACTGATAATAACTTGTTCTATGTGAAAAACACAAAAGAAGTCCTCTCTCATTCTCTTGAAATGATCATTTCCTCCCTTTCTATGGACAGTGTTTCCCAGGACATCTCTGCTTCCCATGTTAAGAATCGACATTATGTTTGGGGCAGGGAGTGACGTCACTGAACACGCGGAACCATACAGAGCTCCAAACCAAGGTTGTGGCAAACAAATAAAGGCGAGAGTGTGATCTGTTGTGGAACATGGCGCTGGCGGGACTCCTCGGGCTCAACCCCCTCATTTCACAAATGGGGAAGCTGAAAACCAGAAGGGTTTGTAAAGTCACTTGCAACACAGCCCTTCACAGCACCTGGGTTTACCTGGCATTTTGCCCATGGTGTGGTTTTTGTTCATCAAAGTACCCTAAGTCTGGTTGGAGTTGACTAGGTGATCTGGTAGATATCTGGTGATCTTCAGAGGTTCCTACCTATTCGGGGCATCAGTGGGGCATAATATAAGGACAGGGGGCCCCCTAATAGAAAGGGTCAGCAGGGCTAATAGAGGCAGGAGGAGCAGGCTGGGGGAGCCTGTGCCTCTCTTGGCCCTTGCACAGTGGACACCACACACCAGAAGGTTCTGGGTAAGGTACTCTGGCGTGGGTGGCTGGCAGGATACCTGCGCCCAAGTTACAGATGTTCTGGAAGCCCTCTGTGCTGGAGAAAGCATGCCCTCTTCCCCCCCTCTCCTCCACTGACGGTGAACTCTCCGTCTGTGGTTTGGCAAATTGCAAAGCAGAGAGGTTTTATGGGATGTGCACGTTAGCTGGGCCTGGCTGATGAGAGGCCTGGGGCCCAGGCAGGAGGGGCTCTGCTGGCTCCAGAACACTGGGAATACACGGCCGAGTTTTTCTCAGGACATCCAGCAAAGGGTGTGTTTGTCTCCAGGACAAGGAGGAGCTGCCTGAGCGCTGAAGGTCTGTTTATGAAAGGGCAAGTGGCTTCTATCATTCAGATGGTGCTGTCAGCCCTTGCTTCCTTCTTCTGTGCCAAGCCCCTACTTGGTTGGGGTTTGGGGAAAGTGGGCACCTGCTCCTTAGGCCAGGCTACCTGGCATGGAGTTGGGTTCCTCTCTTAGCTTTTTCGAGTTGCCCCACACCCCCACCCCGGGGAGACTTTAGGCAAAGTGGCTTTGGCCTCAGGCTACTTATCTTCCAAATGGTCCTGACCTGCTGGGTGCATTTGAAAGTCTTCATGAGGCTGCTTGTGCAGGTTTACCATAATTCTTTGCACTCACGTGCATGTGTAGGCATATGTCAAGCCCACTGGTGGTGGAGAGAACCTCATTTCTCTAGAACAAACAGATGATTTGTTTGGATTTGGGAAGCATTGTGCTTTTACAGTGGTTTCCTTTCCTGATTGTTTATTTCAGACAAGTATCAGTCATGAATGTTCTGGATCCCTTACAGGACTCTTTAGGGAGTGCAAATAATAGCCAATGTTAGTAGTTAACCATTGGTGGTGCCCCACGTTTAACGTGTGTGATTTTATGTGATTCCTGTAGTTCATCGAATGTACCCTAAGGCACCCTAACCTGGGGTAGGTTCTTGGTGGACGGATGGGGGGATTTGGAGAGGCTGGAGATTGCCCAGGGTCTCCCAGTTAGGACAAAACAGATCTTCTCAGGTAGAGTTGAACTCAGGTTAGCTTGCCTCGCAAGGGGGAAATGAACCTAAAATGGGGTCCTTCCATCAACAGAATCAGGGTGGGTAGACCAGGCTCTGGCTTGCCTGTCTGCGCAAGAGCAGTGCAGGGCGTCAGGGAGGACCATCTCTCTGTATGGGACGTTGAGCTCACGCAACAGAGGTGAGTTTGTGAAGGCAACGGAAGGCAAGCTCCGTGAAGCTGGGAGAAGGGAGCAGGTCCAGGCTGATAGCTGGTCCCTGCTGATGCAGGAGGTGATGAATTAAGGATCAACACTGTGGAAATAATACATTCTCGTGTGTGTTTAAATCATCACACGTTTGGTCTTGGTCCTGGGAGAACATTTTTAGGAATTGGCTCCAGACCAATTCATTTCTCTGCCCTTCAGTTTTTCTCTAAGCCCGTAGAGTGTGGATCCAAGCATTACAGGGGGAAGGATGTGAAGCTGCAGAAGGGGCCTTGACCGGGCCAGTTTCATTCCCAAACGAGTGTTGTGTGGCAGATCAGGGTTCAAATTCTGCCTCTGGCTCTTCCTGGCTGTGCCACCCTGGGGCCAGCCACTCTGGGCCTCAGTTTCCTCACTCGTAACCTCACAGGACTTTTGGAAAATTGATTTGAGATAATTTGGGGTAAAGCGTTCTACTAGTACCTGGGCCCTATCATGCACACTCAGCGTTTCCACCTGGTGTCCCTTCTGTCTGGCGAGATCACGGAAACGCTAGAGTTCACTTAGGACCCAGCAGGTGAAGCTGAGAGAGTAGGAAAGACTGAGGTAAAAAGGAAGGACCAGCTGCTCAGAGTGGGTTGGGAAATTGGGCGACATGCCCCATGAAAACCCCCAACACACAAGAGTAACAGATGAACAAGGAACAGCTGTTCAGACCTGGAGGGCTTCCTGGAGCCGGTCTAGTGGTGGCTGCCTGATAAGCTGGGCAGGAGAAGGGAAGGGACATGGGTTGAGGGAGTGGAGTAAAGAGGTGGTCCAGTGAGGGCAAGGTCACAATAGGATGCTAGCCCCAAGGTCAGTGCCACATGTGGGTTAGC